TCATACTCACTGTAGGAATGAGGAACGAGACGCAATCTCTTGCATTGTTCAAGTCTGCACAGTGGCTCTACAGTGTAGGTTCTGTAATTAGTCCCATTACGCAGGCGAGGAAACTAAGCTTATAGGTGACTAAGAAACTCAAGGTCATGACTAAGGTCATGGAAAGACTCAAACATCATATGTGATTGCAGGGTCTAACACCAACACATAAAGACAAAGGTATTTCCTATATTTCCTAAGGTCTAAGGCAGCTTCACAGACAGATGAAGAACTTTTCCCTCTTTTACTTAATACCCTACCAAGTGATGAATTTGAAAGCTAGTGTTCTTTGGTTCCAGTACATGTGTGCGTGTGTGCATGTGTGCGTGTGTGCGTGTGTGTGCAGGGAAACCTATGGGTCAATAACACTGATTGCAGACTTTGAGAATATTTTTCCCTCAAAAGCTACTCAGCGATGTCTTAAGTCCTAACCTTCTCAAATCTCTCTTTTGTGCAGTGGCAGTGACCCTGGACCCAGACACAGCACATCCCAAACTCATCCTGTCTGAGGACCGGAGGTGTGTGAGGCTTGGTGACAGAAAGCGGCCTGTGCCTGACAACCCCCAGAGATTTGATTTCGTCGTCAGTGTTCTGGGATCTGAGTACTTCACAACTGGCTGTCACTACTGGGAGGTATACGTGGGAGAAAAGACCAAATGGATTCTTGGGGTGTGTAGTGAGTCTGTGAGCAGGAAGGGGAAAGTCACTGCCTCACCTGCCAATGGACACTGGCTTGTGCGACAGAGTCGTGGGCATGAGTATGAAGCTCTCACGTCCCCACAAACCTCCTTTCGCCTGAAAGAGCCCCCCAAGTGTGTGGGGATTTTCCTGGACTATGAAGCAGGAATCATCTCCTTTTATAATGTGACTGACAAATCTCACATCTTTACTTTCACCCACCGTTTCTCTGGCCCTCTTCGCCCTTTCTTTGAACCTTGTCTTCATGATGAAGGGAAAAACATAGCACCTCTGATTATCTGTTCAGAACTACAGAAATCAGAGGAATCTATTGTTCCCAAGCCAGAAGGAAAAGGCCACGCTAATGGAGATGTGTCCCTGAAAGTGAACCCTTCCTTACTACCCTCTCAGGACCCAGAACTTTTCCCACTCCAGGATACAATTGTGTCCTGGCCCTCTGACCTTGTTCCAGCCCTTCAAGGGCTCAAGGCTCCTTCTTTTTAGGTATGTGCCTCATGACCTGCTCTCATGACTGAGAGCAGTTCAGTGCCCTGGATTTTATTCCTGCTGGACCAATACCTGATTCTGGAATGTCTTCTTCTTGATCCAAATCTAGACCCTTTTCTCCCAGGGCTCAGTTCTGAATCCTGCCTTTCTTCTAGTGAGTTGAAGTTCCCATTTCTTGGAAGGAGAATTCCTAGAAAAAAAAAATGAACACTCACTTTAGGTTTTAGTGACACTGAATGTGTGTCACCAAGATTCAGTGCAAGTTTAAGGAAAGGGTTCTTTACTTGAGGGAATAGTAGAAGGACTTCTCGCTGCCTCACCCTATTCAATGGGTTTTCAGTCATGAAGTTACAGCTCCCCAGACCCTGACTTCTTATTCTGTCAAGGATGGCTCTTCTCTCATTCTTTCTCAGTTCAGGCCTCTAGCCCCTGAGTCAACTTTTTGTAAATAAGCATACTTTAGATCACATATCCTTCTTTCTCTCTTCAGGAATGGGGACAGAGGGCTAAAACACATCTTTTTCTATTTCCTTGATGCTGTTTACAACAGTTTGGAGACATCCAAGCTACATGTTTTCAAAACTTGATTTACATGTTGCTGATAACCAAGTATCATAGTCCTGAGATGCCTCAAGAGCACCCACAGGGATCTGGGAGGCACAGCTGCAAACAGAGCAGCTCAGCCATGTGGAACTTTAAACAGATAGTGGCAGTCTTTGGTCTTTTGAATACCTTCCCAAGATTTGGAGAGGCCCAGAGAGAAAAAGTGACTTTCTTTGCCACTCATGTACAAGCTATGTTCCTACAAGACCATTATACTGGAAGACTTAACTATTTGTGTAGCAAATAGACTCTTAGGACTTCCAAGAAGTTGATAGACTTTTTATTTGAGAGATAAGAAGGTGTGAGGATACAATAATGAATCTGATTTTGGGGTGTGAATTGAAGAAAAAAGGTTAGGCACTTTCTTTTTTGTGGTACTGGGGTTTGAACTCAGGGTCTACACTTTGAGCCACTTTATTTTGTGATTTTTTTTCTTTCTTTCTTTTTTTTTTTTTGAGATAGGGTTTTGTGAACTATTTGCCTGGGTTGTCTTTGAACTGCGAACCTCCTGATCTCTGCCTCCTGAGTAGCGAGGATTACAGGTGTAAGGCACCAGTGCCCGGGCAAGGCTAGACACTTTTAAGTCACATCATATATGTGATTGGGTCTATTTGCAGAGACATTTTTGGCTGTCAGTTTGTTGATGGGTACAGTTCAACCCAACAGGAACTAGATCTTTCTGTCAGAATTTCTTTCCATTGCTGGCAATAGTTAGGGTTCTCCAGAGAAACAGAGCCAATCGGATATTCATACACACACACACACATATTATATATTATATTGTATATGTGTATATATATGTATATGGAGAGAGGGAAAGAGAGAAATATAGTATAAGGAATTGACTCACATGATTTTGGAGGCTGTAGGCTCAGGACCTATGGAGAACAAATATTTTAGTTTAAGTCTGGGGGCAGGGGGAGCTGATGTCCAGTCCAAATTTTGTTTTACTTCGGGGGAGGGTCAGCCTTTTTGTTTTATTCAGTTCTTCAAATGACTGGATGAGACTCACCACATTTGGGAGGGCCATCTGCTTTACTCAGCCTCTTGATTTAGATGTTAATCTCATGGAAAAACATGCTCACAGAAACACCCAGTATAATGTTTTACTTTATCTGGGTACTTTGTGACTCAGTCAAGGTGATACAGAAATCACCACAGTGCCTGAATTGAATTTTTTAATTTGTCTTTCTACAGTTCTTAAATAAAACTTTTGGGATTGATTGCTTGACATGCTGCTGTTTCATTGTGAATGAGAAGTTGTAGAGAAAGGCTTTGGGCTACTATGAGATAAACATTATGGGGTGGTTGGTTTTTAAACAACTTCGATTTCACGCAAGAAAGCATTAACCACACTTCATAAGAAATCCAGGCTTATTCCTGAGTCTTCCCTCTAGTATTTCATTTTTATCAATTCATAAAATAATAATGTACAATAGGTACATGCATATTCAATTCCAAAAATACTTTCCTGAATATTCCAATCTTAAAACAACTCACATTGTTCACACTGGCCTTACCCATAGAATTTACCAGCAAAAAAGAGAATGGACATTTGTGGAGGCAGAAGCTGTCCCTTTGTCTGTCTCTCTGACTCTCTGTTTATCAATTCTAACAGCTGTTCTGCCAGGGCTTTTATAGGGGAGGAAATTGGAGCTCCAAATGGCTAGGTGGCACAGCTGGGATTACAAACCTTGTCTTTCCAGCTGTGAAGACCGAGTTCTTTGTTCTTTGCATTGAATCACCATGCATCTGTGAGAAGCCCTTAGGTAGCCTGAGCTTTCAGTCACTCCTTATTATATTTTAAAATAAAACCTGAGGCTGGCAGGCTAGCTCAGATGGCTAGAGTGTGGTACTACTAATAAAATAAAACCTGAAAAACAAAACCCCGCCCTGGAGACGTTAGTGGTCTTGTATTTGGATTGGTGAGAGACTATCAGGTAACTAGGGATGCATGTAGGACCAGAAAAATCCTTCCTCAGACAGGGGACATTTAGCTCCTCCGATTTTATCTTTAAACTCCCTTCAAGGTCTACACTCCTTTCATTTTAAATTATAAACCTTAAGTGAGGTGCCAGACTCTAAGCTTCACTGGCTGTCTAGAGGACTGCCAGCTCAAAATGAAGCGGAAGGAAAACCTGGGGTTCTTAGGGGCAAAGCCTGTCTCCACAGCTCAGTTCTAAACTTGGCCAATGTTTTCTACGAAGCTGCGGTCTTCCTCAGGACTACAGTTCCCAGGATGCCAAGCTCGAGGCCAAAGTTTATTGGTGGCTTCTCCTGGGACTCCTGCGTGGTGGCAGAAACTAGAGCCAATAGAAAGAAAGGGTAGCCCCCAGACAGCAATCCTGAAGCCGGAGGCGGGTTCTTCCTAGGTTCCGTCTCCTACTCCTTCCGCCCGCCCACCGAGGCAGCACTGTGACTGACCGAGCGGCGGGAGCGAGGTGGGTCGCGGCTGGGCCGAGGTCGTGGGGGGGAGGAGGACGCGACTTCGCGGGCCACTCTGAGCACGGTCCCTTCCCTCTTGCCGAGGAGTTGGAGGTTGCTGCTCTCCTTGGCGGACACAGTGGGTGGCAGAGGGGCCCCGTGGTTCCTCCGCGCTGACCTCTGTCCCTTCTCCCGGCCCGCGCGGCCAGGCAGCTGGCCCCACCCCGCCCTTTTTTTGGCCTCTGAGTACTCCAGACCCCTGCCACTGACCTTGCCTTTGGGGTCAGCCTCGTCCTCTTCCACCCTCCAGCCCCAAGCCCACCGGCGTCTCTGAACCAGTTCCTGCCTCCCAGAACGCTGTGCCCTTGGGCTCCTCCTTCAGTTCTCCCGGCCCTCAGCGCACCACCGTTTCTGGGCCCTGGACTTCTTGACCCCTGTGATTGCATCCCTTGCCCCTTCCGCCTGACCATCTCCTCGGACCCTCTGACTCCTGCGGTCCTCTGTTTCTGACCCGTTATTTGACTCTCTTGTACAATTCCCTGTTCTCAACACCTTGTCCCTGGTCTTTGCAAGTTCTTCAGCCACCACTACCGCCCCCCCCCACCGCCCCAGTGTCCCCTTTACTTGACCCCCAGACCTGGAACTTTAACCCTGCAAACCACATTCCATCTCTGGCCACCAACCTAGGCCCTTGGCCTTCATCATCCGTGATCATCAACCCATCTTCTTGCCTTGCTTTTGTTAGACCTGGCCCCTTATCCGCTGCCTGAACGCCTTCCACTCTTGCTCTCCCTGTGCTGCTGAGTCCCTAGGAAGACAAGCCCAATTAGGCCCCACATCCCATTCTTCCTCCTTCCCCCATCTCAGAAATGTGATATGAACGTGACTGTATTTTAGCTGCACTGCTTTTTCAGTGGCTGGGGGCTTGTGCACTGATACATCCTGCAGGTCCTAGGTCAGATACCACCTCTTCCACGAAGATGCTCGTCATTGAGAGAGATATTATCTGAACTCCTGTGCACTGTTTTTCTTTCTTTTCTTTTTTGTGTCCTTCCTTTTCTCCCTCCAGTACTAGTGTAATGATTGAAAGCCCTGACTTCGAAGTGACTGCATAGACCCGAGTTCTGCTTACTGCATGCTCTTGGGCAAACTATTTAATTCTCTGAGCTTCGGTTTCTTCATCTCTAAAATAAGGATGAAAAATGAATAGTTGTAAAACTGAAATGAGATAATTCATATATAATGCTTAGTTCTGGGTCTAGCACTTTGTATGAGCTTTTAAAATGTTAACTCTTACTGGCTCCTGTATAAAATGTGCCAGTTGCTCTGGGAGGAGGAGTTGGTACAGAGGGACTGAGGCACTGTCCCTGTTCCCTGCAACTTAACCTTCTAAATGATAGTTTCTGGAGTTCATGGTCTATTTTACTACTTTGTATCATAAGTTTCTTGAGCATGGTAATCATAATCCTAAATCATTCTTTACTCTTACACTAACTCAGCATTCAGCCCTTGGTAGAGCCTGACCTCGATAAATTATAGGTTCTCAGAAGAGCAGTTTTAGAAATGAGTGGAATCCTGTAGCTCATTGCATAAAGATACTAGAGTCCTAGGTGGGGTGACAAGTGAAGCAAGATCATATTCATTTCACTTACTTGTTTAAAAAACATTTGAGCACCCAGCCTTGTGCTGCAAAGAATTACTGTGATGACCCAGTCCCTTTCCTTATAAATGACTAGTGGAAACAGGTATTTGTATATCACTGTAAAGGCAACCACAGCATTCTGTGGACAGAGAAAGTAGGCACCAATAACGAGATTGCTGAGAAATAGTGGGTGAGAGTAGACACAAGTAAGCATAACATGGGTTATGGAGGCCAGTCTGGCCTTGCTTTAGTCAGTTGACTCAACAGCTATTTATTAAGGATCTATAATACATGCCTGCCACTGCTTTTAGGGGTGCGGGTTACTTTAGTGAATAAAAGTAAATAAAAATCCCAGTTCTGATGGAACTATGCTTAATGGAGAGATAAACAATAAATAATAGACAAATAAATAGGAAGTCAGTAAAATGTGCTATGGGGCACGGCAACTAGGAGTGGGAGTGGGAGTGGGGAGAGTCAGGGTAAAGTGAATTTAAATCAAAGAATATTTTCTGATGTTTACTGGCAGTTTTGAAAGAGAAACAAGCCTATTATTTTTCATATTGCTTATCTAAATTCTTCAAGAAACATTAATAGGGATTGGTAAATGATAATTCATATCCTATTGTTTTGTTTGTTTTTTGAGATAGTGTCTTGCTATGTTTTGTAGCCCAGACTGGCCTGAAACTTGAGATTTTCCTGCCTTAGCTTCCAGAATGCTGGGATTATACCCAGCATGAACCACAACACTCTTTCTATTGTTGTAAAGTTTTATTGGAACACAGTCATACTTACTCCTTTATGTGTCTTTGCTGCCTTTATGGTACAGTGACAGAGTTGAGTAGTTATAACACTGATCCTATGACCCTAAATATTTGCTAAATACTCATCATCTGACCCTTTTTGAAAAGTTTGCTGACCTCCACTCCTTAAAGAGTTGAGGTTCTGTCTGTATTTCACATTTTAGGAGATTATATATAGTCTTGTAGTATTTTTAAATTAAAACTTTTTTTCTTTCCTAAAAAGGTAATTTAAAGGATCTTTTTGATTCTTGTATTCTTCACAGGACCAGGACATGGATATTTTCCCCCTGTACTGGCGATTGAACCCAGGATCTTAAGCATGCTAGGCAAGCATTCCATCATTTAAGCCACACCCAAACCCTTTTGTTTTCGAGAAGGCCTCACTACCTTTTTGCCTGGGCTCTCTATCCTCCTGCCTCCTCCTCCTGAGTAGTTAGAATTACAGGCATGTGCCACCATGCCTGATTTGTTTTTAACAATTGTTATAGTAGCCACCATTTGCTGAAGAACTAGTATGTTTCACATTCTTTGTTGAATGTATTATAGGTACTTTCTCTAATACAGAGTCCTACAGTGTAGGCAGGTTTCACAACTTTGATGAACTTTGGTGATGAGTGAGTTGAGGCTCAAAGTGGGAGTGGCTGAATAATCGGGCAAGGAGTAGTTGCAGAATTATAAAGATCATCTATATCACAATTGGAATCCTACCCTAAATTTAGTCATGGTCCCTTTGACTTTTTCCCCCCAAATGCTTGCTGAACAAGAAGGAATCACTAATCTTTCATTGTCTGTCATCATTGTTCTATCATAGTCAGTACTTCCTTCGCTCATCTCTTTGTTCCTGTCATTCTAGACAGCATCCTTACCAGCTCACTCTGCTTTTTATTGTTTAAGGCCCAGAGAAAATGCTACTACTTTTGGCTTCTCAGAAGTACTTTTTCTTTCTTCCTTTCCTGTCCTTGGCTATAGGAACCAAAGAGGCCTGTGCCTCTTAACAATCATTCACTGATTGTTAAGCCAGTTATACTGATTGTATAAGCCAGCCCATTGCTGGGTACCTATGAGTTTACTTGTGTGGTGGTGGTGGTGGGAGAGGTGAGGAGTGTGGTTTGTGTATCAGTGTGTAATCTCTGTGTAGATGTCATGAGAGTGTGACTGTGTATGGTATGAAAGTATGGTTTTATGTATGGTATGTGAATATGTAGCTATATGTGTTGTATGTACCTATATATGTGGGAAGGCTGTATGGTATATGTGGTATGTATGCATGTGGTTGTGCATATGTGGCTGTGTGTGGTATGAATGTGCATGTGGTTTGTATGGTGTGTGTATGGCTGTGTGTGACTGTGTGGTATGAGAGCATGACAGTGTGTTTAACATATGTGAGTATGGCTTTGTCATGTAAGAATGTGGCTCTGTGTGGTATGTCTACATGAGACCATGTATGTGTATGTGTGTGTGTGTTTGTGTGTGTGTGTGTGAGATGTTTAAGAGTAGTGGAAGTGGACACTGACCAATCAGAACAGATACAACTCAGACCTGTAGTAGGTCTTGGAGGTCTAGATATTAACCCTTCAGTTGCTAGATTTTGGTGAGGTGTGGAGAAGGTTGGGATGACAGAACAGTTAAAAATGTTCAGAGTTGGGTCTTGTAAGCTAGGAGATCCTTAGACACTGTTGTGATCATTTTGAAAGCAGCAAACAGACTCTTTTAAGGAAGATTTTCTTTTTAAAGATGAAACAAAAATTTTAGTTAACTTACAGTTAGGCAGAGAAATCGAATTCATCACCAAATGAAAGCTACTTTACTTATAAATTATAATTTATACTGTCATTGTTTAGTTGTTTTAAGAAGAGTGACATTATTCAAATTACACAGGTACAGTCTGTTAGTGGTGGGCAAAGCTGGTGTCTTCTTTTTGTGCTGGGTGTAGCTTTAAATTCCTGTGAAACTTTGTCATTTGAAAGTTAGTAAATAAAGGCTTTCTATACAACTTTTCCAGTTAATTGAGATTATTCCTGACAGATTGTTCCATGGGGAAGGTGTATACTCCTTTAGCCAGAATGAAAGATTTCCTGTGGTCCAGTCTGACCCAAGGATTATAAAGGTGTTGAACATTTGTGTTCATTCTCAGGACTCAGAGATGGGCAGTGAGAAGGAGCAGAGTCCAGAACCATACCTGCATGAGGAAGGGGAAGGGGGTAAGCCTTGGAGAGTGGATGGCTCAGAGGGTTCTCAGATCCTGCCTGGGAAGGAGTATGGGCAGGAGAGCCTGTCGAAGGGGCCACAAGGAACACATCAAAAAAAGCCATGGCAGAAAGTCACTGCTCCAGCTGTGGGGCCAAGGGACCCCATTGCTTATTCAAGGCCCAGGACAGATGAGAAGCCCTTTGTATGTGCCCAGTGTGGCAAAACCTTCAACAATACCTCTAACCTGAGAACACACCAGCGGATCCACACTGGTGAGAAGCCATACAAGTGTTCTGAATGTGGCAAGAGCTTCTCAAGAAGTTCTAACCGCATCCGACATGAGCGGATCCACCTGGAAGAGAAGCACTACAAATGCCCCAAGTGTCAAGAGAGCTTTAGGCGGCGCTCAGACCTCACCACACACCAGCAAGATCACCTGGGCAAGCGACCATACCGCTGTGACATCTGTGGCAAGAGCTTTAGCCAGAGTGCCACACTGGCTGTGCATCACCGGACCCACCTGGAGCCAGCACCCTACATATGCTGTGAGTGTGGAAAGAGCTTCAGCAACAGTTCTAGCTTTGGGGTGCACCACCGCACTCATACAGGAGAAAGGCCTTATGAGTGCACTGAATGTGGGCGGACTTTCAGTGATATCTCCAACTTTGGGGCACATCAGAGGACCCACAGAGGGGAGAAGCCCTACCGGTGCACTCTGTGTGGGAAACACTTCTCACGCAGCTCGAACCTTATCCGCCATCAGAAAACACACTTGGGCGAGCAGACTGGGAAAGATTCCAGCTAAAGAGGAACTCCGCTTAGCGAGTAAGGGAGAAAGAGTGCAACTCCTCACCCTAGTGGAGGAAGAAGGCTTTAGGATCTGCCGTTGCCAACTTGACTGCAAACCCTTCATCCCACTTAGATTACCTGTTGCCTCTGAAGCCAGGCTCTCCAAGAGGTCCTGAGAAGGGACTCTGAGTAAAAATCCTTGCCTCCTCCCAGGAAGTTTATTGCCTTGGAAAGTCAAGAGGACCCAATCTTGACTTCATCCCCTTGAGGGTAAAAGAAAGAAGGGTGGATTCAGAGCATGATTGTTTCCTTGGGGCAGCAGTCCACTAGCCTCTGAGGAAGTGCCTGTGAGCTGGTGTCACTGTCTAAAGAACCTCCAAATTGTCTATGAACTGCTTAGGGCACACTGTAGTGGCCTGCTAGTTCCACATGCTGTGCCCCAACCCAAGTCAACTTCTAGAGCTCTAGGCTGGGAGGAATGGCTCATTTAATGGAAGGGCCTCTTTGGTCTGAGAAGAGGTTTGAGGTCCTGCCTTAGGAATGAAAGGGAAGCCCTCAGGGATCCACGATCCAGGGACCTTCATTCTCCCCCATGTTTGTTACCCTACCCCAACCTCATTGTTTCCCCAGAGTGATTACCAGTAAAACCCTTCAATGAAAAGGACCTGTGTACTTATTTGGGGAAATGGGGAGATGATTCTAGTACAGCCATTCTGAAAGGGAGTTGAATTTCAAGAAAGACTGATGGCTGCTCTGAAAAGCAAAGGAAGGTAGGCTGAGTCTGTGGAGTCTTTTAGTAGGTGAGGGAAAGGAAAGGAAGTAACATTGAGTATTTACTATATGCTGTCAGTTCTACTGGTTACATTTCATTCTTCAACTCATTTAGTTGTCGCAGCAGCCTTTAAGGGTATAAGATGAGGAAACAAGTGAGGAGGGTGAAGTCACACAGCAGGCATGATATGGAGCCAGTTTAAACTTGGGTCTCTGTGGCTCCCAGCTGATATTCTTTTTGCTATATTCATGTTGTTGACCCGGAAGAAAGAGGAGCCACTTAGGAGGTTAGCCTGGAGAAAGGAGCCAGTGTGGCATTTTCTTTTATTGGAGGGCGGGTGGTACTGTGTTTTGAACTCTGTTTCATGCTTGCTAGGTAGTATTCTACCACTTGAGCCACATCCCTAGTCCTTTTGCTTTAGTTTTATTTTTTAGAGAGGGTCTTGTGCTTTTGTCTGGGCTGGCCTCCTACCCCCACCTAAGCATCTGGTATTATAGGTGTGCACCACCACACCCACCTTGTTCTCAAGAAAGAGCCTTATTAATTTTTTTGCCGAGGCTAGCCCCAAATTGTAGCCTTCCTGTCTTTGCCTTCTGAGTAGCTGAAATTACAGGCATGTGTCACTACAGGCACTACCACAGCTGGCCCTCAGTGTGGCCTCTTGACATGGCCCTGAGCAATTCTTTCTGGGGTGGGGGGGGATTAGTACCAATTGTGAGAACCTTTTCAACTTTATTGATAGGGTTCTTTGTCTGTGGTTAGGAAAAATGGCAGTCACAGAGTAGGGGTGAGGAACGGGATAAGATGAGAGAAATCTAACACCTCCAGTGAGAGTTTGCCTTTAGTAGCAACAGTTTAGTTCCCAAGGGACAGTAGGGGATCATGCCTAGTTTCCTGTTCTTCTGGTTTAGGACTGGGTTCAAATGACAGATTCCAATGTGTTTTTTACATGGAGGGTTTTTTGGTTTTTTTGGTGGGACGAGTTTGAACTCAGGGCTTCAAGCTACTGCTTAAGGCATGCCTCCAGTCCATTTTGCCCTGGTTATTTTGGAGATGGAGTCTCACAAACTATTTGCCTGGGCTGGCCTCAAACCATGATCCTCCCAATCTCAGCCTCCCAAGTAGCTAAGATTACAGGCATGAGCCACCAGTGCCTGGCTGGTTACTGTTTGCCCAGCTTTCATTTAACAAATATAAAACATCCCTTTCTATCGTTCTCATCAGTTTGGTGCCCTGCCTTCCAGGGTAAGGGGCTCCTTTGATTTGTAGTCAATTGGTAGAAGGTGATTCTGCTACCAGACTTGGAACTAATACCACCTATGACCTGACCTATCAGACGGGGACCCTCTTCCTACTATCTCTTATCTTCATACTATTTCTTAAGGTAGTAATGTTCCTACTTTTAAGGTAAGAAAATTCTTACCTTCAAAATAGTAGGTTAATTGATCTGACCTACTGGCAGAGATGGGATTTATGTATATATGTCTGATCCCAAAGCCAAGTTGTTCATTGCGTTCACTACAAAGCTAGGTCTGCTTGTCCCATTCCGGTCCAAAATTGTATCAGAAAGCTTGGTTCGATTCTTCCAGACCTGGAGCTATAGAGACAATTGTGACTTTGGGAGTCTGCTGACAGTCAGGACTGGGACCAATGTACCAGGCACCTGATTTGATCTTGGGACAGGACTTCCCAATCAATCTCATTTGCCATTTTTTTAAAGTGTATGTTGCATTATTTCCAACATGCACGTATGGTACTTTGATTAAATTCATCCCCTTTATTACTCTTTTTTTATACCCTGTCCCCCTTTTTTGATCTAGTTCATAGGTTAGGGTTTCTGTGTTGGTCATTGCTTTTGAGTTCTAATTAGTCCATTTATTCTCTCTCTGATTTCTATTTTTAAGTTCCTTTATTTTCTCCATTCCCTTTTTCTTTTCTTCCTTCTTCCCCTGCCCTGTCCTTCCCTTCCTCTCTCTTCCTCCCATATGAATACTGACAAGACAATGTGGCCCCTGAATTCTTTAGTGCAGGAAATCAACAATTAGGCCCAGAGTTACAATGCAGGATAATAGATGTCATTACAATTGTGTCCAGAGTACCAGAGGAGCCTAGAGGAAGGCCTTAAATTGGCCTGTAGTGGACTGTGAGGCCTAGAAGTGAATAAGACATAGTCTTTACTATAAAGAACTCCGAGGAAGCGAAACTCTTCTGAACAAAGTGCTGAGGGTAACAGTGGGAATGGCTAACTCTAGAGGCAAGGGAGGCTGAGAAGAGATTGGATTTAGTCTTGAAGCATTAGTGAGTGTTTACTAAGTAAAGAAAAGTGGAAGATTATTTCAGGTGACAGAGAAGGCTGTTTTAGGGAACAATGAAACATTTGATGTAGTTATTGAGTGTGCTGTGTGAGGAAGACGAGCTGGTGAGGTAGTTAGGCCAGACCATGAAAAGTGTTGAATCTAGGTAAGAAATTTTGGATTGTGAACAATAGAGATTTTTTATTTATTAATTTTTGCAGTGGTGGGGATCAAACCAAGGGCCTTGTGCATGCTAGGCAAGTACTCTACTGCTGAGCTACATTTCCAGACCCAGGAAAATAGAGAATTTTAAAGTAGGGGAATGACAGAATAACATTCCTCTTTTAGGAAGAATACTGAGTCTAGTGTAGAGAATGAAATAAAAGGGGGATCAAGTAATTCGGGAAGTGCTATATGTGTAAGCCATGTGCCATCTGGGCCCTCCATGTCCACAAAGGGCTCTGTGATCACCTCAGAGCTTGCCAGTTCCACAGAACAATAAATTGAAATCCTCCATGTAATTTTTACAGATTAATGGGATTTTATGACCTCTTGATTTCTTCTTGCCTGAGGTTCCTTTGATCTATACAAGTTTTCTCCATTTTGTCTCCATTATTCCTGTCATAGAACTCAGCACTTTCATCAGCTTTCTCAAGAAATTCTGTCAGGGCTGGTGGAGTGGCTCGAGTGGTTGAGTGCCTGCCTCCCAAGGGCGAGGCCCTGAGTTCAAGCCCCAGTACTTCCCCCACGCTTCCAAAAAAAAGAAAGAAATGTGAAAAAAGAGAAAAAAATTCTGTCAAACCAAGTACCTTGTAAATTTAGAATCCCTTCTAGAGACTGGGAGTCTTGAAGATAGGGAACACATCATAGCATGTAACTAGCTTCCTTTTCTCTCTTGCCATTTGTCATTACTCCTCCCTCGTTGATTGACACAAGAAGACTGGTATATTTTACTATAGATAATATCTTAATCATCAAAGATCATGTACATTTCCAAAGTTTGGATGTCTCTTACAGTTGATAATGTTTTATATTAAATATCACATAAAAAAATAAGGCGATAATGTCAGCAAGATGATGGATTAGGACGTCCCAGCTCCAGTTCCTCCCAGAGACACTGACTTAACAATATACAGGCCAAAATACCTTTATGAGAACTCTAGAGTTCTTCCAGAGTTAGTTTTCAATAGCCAGGACAGCACAAAGCCAAGAAGAACCACACTAAAATGGGTGAGAAGATTGCCATTTCCCTAAGCCAACACAGCTTAGTTTGGGTCACAGATTCTTCCTTGAAGGAAAAAGAAGAGTGGCACATGCCTCCAATGTTCTGACTTTTCAAAGGACTACCCAAGGAACTGGCTCCTCTTTCCACCTTCTTGGAATGCTAATGGACTTGGGGCCACTGAAAGCAAGCTTGACTTATCACTGGAGGGCCTACAACATAGTAGACAGGTAAGCTTGTTTAAAAGAAGGCTCCTGACTGCAGCTCCTCTCTCAGGATGGAGGGAGAAGAGTAGAGCATGTGCCCAGTATTCCACCTTTTTTGGGAAGTTGCCAAGAGAGTGTCTGATTGGGGATGCTGATGAAGAGTCACATAATTTGAATGCCTGGGAGTCCCTAAGTACAAAGGAGAATAGAGGGGCTTGCTGTGGTAGTACCAGAGAACCTGTAGTACTGCAGACAGACACCAGAGGGAGCAAGAGATTGTATGAGCCTGACAAACTGGCAAACCTCTAATTGGAAAATTACAAGCACAAACCCAAAGAAGATACATTCCCCAAAAGAATTCAGAGACACCCATAATTTAGCTGGTGTGATTATTGAAGGTCTTCACCTGTATGAAACCGGTCTGTTAAAAGTCAGAAAAATGATAAGAGTAATAGAGGGGATGAATTTGATCAAAGTACATTATATACATGTATGAAATATTACGATGAAACCCACAATGAAGCAGTTAATATATGCTAATGAAAAATGAAAAAATCAGAAAAATGGCAGGGTGTGGTGGTTCACACCTGTAATCTCAGCTACTCAGGAGGCAAAGGCAGGAGGATGGTGAGTTTGAGGCCAGCATGGGCAATGTTAGTGAGGCCCTATCTCAAAAATAAAATACAAAAAAAAATTTAAAAATTATGCATGAATAATATGAGAATATCAAGATAGAAACTATTTTTAAAAAATGAAAATTTCTGAAATGGAAAGTTTTAGTAATTGAATTGAAAAATTCACTAGAAGTCTTCAATAGCCCAAAGGTTTCTTTTGTTTGATCAAACAAAAGAATCAGCAAACTCAAAGACAGGTCATTTGAAATGATTGGATCAGAAGAACACAGAGTAAAAGAATGAAAAAAAGTGAAGAAATCGTAAGAGATTTCTTAGGATTAAGGGATCAGTGCCTGCATTATGAAAATTTCATAAAGAGAAAAGAAATAGAAAAGGGCAGAGAGCTTATTTGAAGAAATAATGGTCCCAGACTTCCCAAATCTAAGGGCAGAAATGAATATCCAAATCCAAGAAGTTTAGGGAACTCCAAGTAAGATTAACCAAAGAGGCCCACACTAAGAAATACTGCAATCAAAATATCCACAGACAAAGAATTAGATGCCAGTGGCTCATGACTGTAATACTAACTACTTGGGAGGCGGAGATCTGGAAGCTCATAGTTTGAGGCCATTCTGAGAAAAAAGTGAGATCCTGCCTCAACAGATAGCTGGGTGTGGTGGCACATGCCTGTCTTCTTAGCTACATAGGAAGTGTAAGATTGTGGTCCAGGCTGACCCAGGCACAAATGCAAGACCCTATCCCCCAAATAACTAAAGTATAAAGGACTGGGGGCGTGGCTCAAGTGGTAGAGTGCCTGCCTAGCTAGTGCTGTAAGTTTGAACCCCAGTACCACCACCAAAAAAAAAAAAAAAAATCTTGAAACTAATTTAAGAAAATCGTCACATACAAGGGAGCTCATGAGGGAATTTATCAGCAGAAAATTTACAGGACAGAAGAGAGTACAATGATATATTCAAAATGCTGAAGAAAAAACCCCAGCA